TATACCTTAAACCTGGACTGAACCCTAAAGAACTGTGGTGTTATATCTCCTCTTCCTGCTGGATTTTTGCCATTTTGCTTATTGTTGTTTTGTTTTTATTCTCCACTTGGAGAAAAAGTAGATTAATAATTGTTTAAATACATCTCTGTATCTGTATTGGGTTTCAAAATCTTGAACTCCTTTTTTTAAGATTTGCCAAAGGTTTATCCTGAACTTTATCTTCTTAGAGGCACAAATTTATGAAGCTCCCCAGTCCATTACACAAAAGGGCTGTGTAAACCAGCTTCCTGTTTCTTGTAGTACTCAAGCCCAAACAGGCTGTACAGGCAATTGCCTTCCCCCCCTGTTGCTTCCTAACAACTTCTCAGTGAAATACAGAATTGCACTGTTGACAGGTGAGTTCGATGGGACTTACTCCCAGGCCGATGGGGTTAAACATGCGCAGATATTAAGGTGAGTGTTGGAACAAGCACTTTGTCTTCAAAAATTATGATTTGAGGAAGTGTGTATTGCTCTCTCTGTGCATGTCTCTGAGGGAATATTGGACCTTGGTTTTAAATAGTATTTGTAATTTCATTTTAAAAATAGTGAAAAAATCTGGGAGGCTGACATGCTGTCAAATGAAGTGCCAGCCTCCATCTTTAATTACAAGAAAGCTTCTCTGCCAACAGAAGGGGAGGATGGGCTCCCCTCTTCCAGTGTCCTGCTTGGTTCCCATGCTGCTCACAGAGGGGGGGTGGAGTGCACCATCGTTCCTGCAGCAGCTGCCTTTGCATCGAACTCCCGGTGTGCCCCTGCCAGGCTTTTTCCTGCCTAAATAAGCATATGCCGGTGCCCTTAGAAAGTAAAAATGGTGGGCAGCTGTTGCCCAGCGCTTTACTTTGAAGCATTCCCAGCTGCCCTTCCCCCCAAAATAGGTAATTTGGAAACTGGTGGGAGCTTGTGGGGGACTGAGGGTTATGGTGATGGTTGGGGGCATGTTTTGTACATACTGTACATTTCCTTGTTTGTTTTTTGAGAGTTGTTTGGTGCATACATGTGGTCAATTTGTTTGTTTTGCAGAGTATGGTTTGCCTTGATAAGATGTTCACTTTCCTTGAACAAACTAACATTGTTGGTGTAGTTTGTCTGAGGTTTGTGTGTACTTTCTCTTTTGGGAGGCGAGCCTGATTGTATGAAATGTCTAACTTTGCAGAGCTTGAATAGGTCAACTTCGAATTTATAGTCCTGTGAACCTAATACATTTCAGTTGCAGTCTGCAGAAGTTATCTGTGACTAATTGAAGAAGGAAGATCAGTATTTTCTGTTCATGCTTTAGCAAAAATGCTGTCTGATCGCTGCTGTCTTTAGTCTGCTTTCTTTTGGCATTGTTCCATTATGAATGTAGGTTGTGCTTGCACTGTTTTGTTTTACCTCCATCAAACTTGCATTAAGCAATTTTCCAGGAACAGTGGGCAATGCGAAATATTTGGCAGGGTGGTCCAGTGACAGTCAAACACCATGATTAGGTCTAGAAAAAAGCTTCTGTTACATTGGAGCCACAAGGAGGCACCAAAGTATATGCAACTTTCTTGGGAGTCACTGCTTTTGTAATTTAGGAAGGACACTTATGGTTGCTAGAGGAATACATAATAGCAACAATCCATTCTGCAGTTGTGAACTGGTTTTCCCAAATTGTGTACCACGTCTTTTATAAATAATACATTCCCCATCTTAACCTTTAAGAATGAAGAGGAGACCTTTTGACAACATCTCTTGTGTGTTAACAGCATAACAAAATTTAACACATGTGGAAAGTCATTTCTCACAAATACATTTTCTGAAATGTGGAACTCCTTCCTACAAAGTCTGTGCCTAAGCACCATGCAGAGCTCTTACAATCAGACTTCCTCTTCCAGGATAAAGGCTAAAGTTGGTATCTCTTTATAAAATTTAAATGGGTTTTTAATAGGATTCTTTTTTAAATTGCTTTCTGATTTTCACCACAGTTTCAATTATGCATTTGTCTGGCTGGGTGGAACTGTAGCAGCCAGAGCAAACCAATCCAGCTCAAAGTGTATGGATTGTGTTATCATAAGCAATGAAAGAGACTTTCAAGAAACAATGCTGCGTGGCTGGTTCTTTCTATCAAGAGTAACATAGTAGGAAGTGCTTCCAGTTAGCAGGGTGGTAGATACTTACAGGTTGTATCCAAAAGTGGGGGACTGAAAAGGAAGAGGGAGGCATGGGCCTGCTCAAGGACACCTACAATTTGTTGAAGTGCCATCATTTCGTTTCACACCCCAAAGTGGTAAGCCCCTGTCCAAATGCCTGTTAATGTTTAAGCATGCTCAATAGATGCCTAATTTTGATTGTACTTTTACATGACAGTGAGCTAGTTTGTACCTTCTTCTTGGCCATCTTAGACTGACGTAGGTTTATGTTTGCCAGCCTGGAGTGATGGGATTCTAAGAGTTCTGACAAGCTGTAGAAGATCACTATGGTGGGGGTGTGGGTGGCGTAGTTCGGGAAGGATTGAAAATACTTCACCAGTTCATGTTGAAACTGATCCAGGAATAAGACTGGGCCTGAGAGTTTACGGAAGAGGAAGGGAAAGATGGTTTTCCATGCCATTTTTGCTTGCTGAGGGCTTGGGGTCCCTGCAGCTCCCTCTGGACTTGAACAATCTAGGCCAGGGTTGGGGGTTAGTGGACTTTTAACTGGATGGCAGCAGCTCGCGTAACCTTGATCAAAGTTCTAGTCTGAAGAGACTCTGGCAACACCTCAGCCAAAATGTTGAACTTCTCTTGTTTAAAAGTGCAAATGTATTTTATATTGGCAGTTTTTAAAAGCCTGCAACTTTTTACGTTCATATTTCGCACATGGAAAAATGTGTTATCTTCCAGCTTGGCATGCAACATGACGTGCATTTTTCATTTGTTTTACTGAATTTATAAATCCCAAAAAGGCTTAACAGCTAGAAAGTCATAACAACTCGAAAGTCATAGTTTTAATCATCCATTTTGTTCTAACAATTTTGTGGCTATTTCTTTTTGTCCGGAAGGTATTTTCAGTAGTGCATCTAACATTCACTGTGCTACAAGTTTTGTTGTGTGCGTGCATGTACGCTAAAGTTTGTGTTTCATGTGTGGGCTATATTTTTATAATTATTAAATGACATGTTACTTTTTCAAAATGGAAAAGTCACCCTTAAAATTTATTGCCTATTATTATGAAACCATAGTATTCATCATACTGTTTGTGGAATGTTAAATAAAAACACTATTTTAATATGGCTATTGAATTAGTTTTTATATATGTAATAGCCATGGCAGAAAGGTGTGTGAGAGGGACCTCACACTTCATAATGTTAAAGCCAGTGCAGTAGCACATTTCTGTTGCCAACTTCTGAAAGGCTTAACTTCACCAGAATCTTTGTTTAACATGACAGCTTGAAGCCAACAGAGCTTCCTTAGTTTCCCCCAATAGATGTTTTGTGATCAATCCAAGACTTGCTTCTAGGTGTAGAACCTCAAACCTGGGGGCCAGATCCAACCACCTGGGGTCCTAATATGGCTTTCCAGGAGGCCAGATCCTTTACCCTGCCTCTTCCCTTTTTCCATTTTTTTTTTTTTTTTGGCGGTTTTGCAGCTCTTGTGCAGTTTTTCCGCTTTTCCAAAAGGTTGAAATGCCTCTCCTGAGGTTTCATTACTGGCCATAAGAGTTACTGGTTTTAAGCTAATATATGCTGGTATTTTGGACCCACCTTATTTGCCTTGGCTCTGCCCACCACTGGGATGTGACTCTTGAGTGAGTCTCCAAAATGGAATTTGGCCCTCAAGCTGCAAGAGGTTCCACACCCCTGGTACAGAGGCTTCAGGATCCACATGAAAGTTTCTGCACCCCTCATGGCCTTTCCATTCACTTTATGATGGGGATAGAACTGCATAGCCAGATTTCCACACACGAAGCTGTGCAAAGTAAAAGATGAAAGAAGTTTGGAACCCTAGTTGCACAGGGTTTGTGCATATACACTGGACCAGAATTCAGAGTTTGAGCCAAGGGTTTGTTCTGTCCATGTTGCAGGGGACTTAAAAGAAACTGCTGTTGCACGTTCCCAGGCAATGGCCTGAATATACCTGTTAGGCAGGAATGCCTTCCAAATAGCTCTCTTCTCCCTTGAGAAAGAAAGCCCGCTCAGTGACCATGCAGCCACTGGCCCTGTCCTCTATATTTCTGTATGTCGTGTGCACATATGCTGGGAGGAAGCTGATGTGTGCACAGCTGCTCACACACAGCCTTCCACACAGCCAGGGCTCTCACATAGGCTTCCTCTCTGCAGACATCTCCATCAGCATGTACCTGTCCAAGCGAGGGTGAGTGGCGTGTCCAAGGACAGGGCCAGCAGTGTTGTCCTGCTCCCTGGACATTGCCTGCGTCTCCTGACCATGATGACAACTCTGGCCAAACAGACTATTATAGTTGGCTGTTACGTCCAGACCTGGTTTGATCTGTCATTTGGGCAAGCTGTGGTGTGCAACAGTGATTCCTGTGGAGTACAGCAATGCCATTTTGGGATTTATGTCATCTTTCTTCCTTTGGTTCTCTAAGGCCCAGCCCATAGGTTTCTCAAGGCATGCTGGGGGCCATCTGGCTCTGTTTCCAATTTCCTTGCCCAAGGGTTGAGTACCACCATATTTACTGTCTGGAAAATCATGGATCTGCATCTGCTGCTGTTTAGATATCTCTGAAATTGAGCTTATTCAAAAGCCTTCCTAGACATGTTTTTGGAGAACAACCCCCAATATTTCCAACCATTGGCCCTGCTGGCTAGAGCTGATAGGAGTACAGAAGATCTAAAAAGTGCCAAGTTGGGGAAGTTTGTTATATATTTTTAATGGATGGATTATTTTTTTATTCCAGGTCCTTTAAAACCAAAGATAGAAGATAATTTACAGAATTTATTTTTATTTTATTTGAATTGATTTATAGTATTTCTATTCCATTCTACATCCAAACAGATTCTGGAGTGGTGAGTGAGTGAATTTAAGGAGTAAATGAAATGTTCTAGGGCTCCTATAGGGAAAGACACCTGCTTCCTAACTTCTACTGGCTTTCGTAGGTGCTAATACTTAGGGCCTGATATTCCAGCCTTCACAAGCAACAAGGTCCAACTCTAATTCCATAGGATAAGAAACTTCAAATAGATTGCCCTCCATGCCTTATGAGTCAATGATAACATCAGCTCATATTTGGGAGATGTCTTGCAGTGAATATCATTTTAGTCAAAACCGTCTAGGTTCCTTGATGAAATGGTAAGAATACTATCTTTTTTTAAGTTTTAAAGGTCCATAAATCAAGTAAAATTTCAATATTATTTTCACAAATTGCAGGTACCGGGAGGCTGTTCACAAATGGGATGAAGCACTTCAGTTAACCCCAGAAGATGCTACTCTTTATGAAATGAAGTCGCAGGTATCACATGGCAGTGCTTTGACAAGCTAAATATATAGGATATTGATTTGTTCTGGCCATAGGTCATGACATGAATAAAAGGTAATGCAAGTAGATTCTAAAGAAATTCAGCAGCCACATGGTGATAAAGTACGTGGAATACATAGTATAATATCAATAACCTACTCAGTAAAAGTGGCAGATCAGCGAAATCCATAAAATGCTTCTGCAGCTATGTATAACTACCTGGGGTTTAATTTCAGTCAGAGCAAAAATGCTACTTGCTTTGCAATAAAAGAACATGTACCTTGGTAAAAAATGAAATTATACCCAAGACAAGCCATTGACTATATCTGTTTCTAACTGACAATAACAATTTTTCCTCTTTGTCTTACATGGTTTATGACTTTGGAAAGACATCATTGGATGATCATAGCATATGAGATAGATGTTTTGCTAGAAAAATGGACACCTTGTGTTACGGAAACACTATTTGTTGACTAAAGGAACAGAAGGAAGCCAACTCAGTTCAGATACCATGCCAAGCTATGGCTAAGGAAACCGAAATTCATTTTGGTGTGTTGTTGGAACCAGTAAATGTGGTTTGGTATGGCTTGAAGACCATGGTTTGGACTAACAAATGTTAAGTAAATATTTTGATACATAATGTCTTAACTACACAGAGAATTTGGAGACCCAGCAACCAGTATTTAAAACTTACCATAACCAGAGTTAATACAGTGAATGATTTCTATGTTTTTAGATCCATTATGATAAAAGTGAGCATTCAACATTTGTGACAAATACTATCACTAGTCTATGGAATGCGCTCCCCAGGGAGGTCCGCCTGGCGCCGTCGTTATTTGTTTTTCGGCGCCAGGCGAAGACTTTTTTATTCAAATGTCATTTTAATTGTTAATAGTATTTATTCGTTTTATTCTTTGGCCAGGGCGACTTAATTTATACTGTTAATTTATATTATTTTACGGAAGTTTATTTATGGATGTGAGCCGCCCCGAGGCTTTGGCGAATGGGGCGGCATAGAAGTCTCCTAAATAAATAAATAAAATAAATAAATATTTAAAGTTTTTATATCCCACCCTTTACAGTGTCTCAGAGTGGTGATATACTTGGTTTCCTGTAGTAAACAGATGAAACATGGACAATATTTCCATGTCCTTAAATGTCTGTATACTCATGACCGGAAACCTGTCTGCATGTGCATGAGTATTCTGAGTCTTTGGTTTATCATTCACGATTATAAGGCTGGTTTTGGAAATGCCACTGTAATTAATGCCAGTATATTCACAACTGTGTTCTATCAGTAAGGTGTGGAATTGTTTGAAGAGAATTTATTTGAAAAATCAAAGCTTTTAACAAAGTTAAAGAGTGGAGATTCTGATCATAAAAGTACATAAGCCTGTTCTGGGGTGCAGTCCTATTGCCCCTGTGAGCAGATGCTCATAGGTCTTCACGCTGCAAGGCTTCCAAGCATCCAGTGCAAGCTGTGCTGTACAGTGGTGGATCTCTGCCATGCGTCATGCCCATATAGGTGTCCATTTTCCCCAGTGAGGAAAGGAGGCTGGGAATCAGGATAACTGGAGCCCCAAGCTCCCCCCTTTCTTATTCCAGGGTAGGGTGTGGGGAGGGCAGCTGATGTGGTTGTTTTCACACTGGCTGTGAAGGGTGAGGCAGGGACTCAGCCTTCAGAGTCCCAGCCCAGACGTTGCAGGATCTCAGAGCTGGGACTCCAAGGAATCCTAAGACCTGCCAGACAATGTTAGGAGGTCATAGGATTGTGCCCCAAATTTAATTTGAGAATGTTACTCTGTCTTCCTCCATGGGAATAAAACTGAAAAGTCACCATGATGTGTCAGTTATAATACTTACAACAAGCTGGCATAGAAATAGGCTATTTTACGGTTTGTATTAGCCTGTTATATGGCTGCAAACATCCTGATAATCTTCCATTTTTAAAAATTCCAACTATAAAAGGTGTTTACAATTATTCATGGTATGAAGAAAGTGGAGGGCGAGACATTTTTCTTCCCTTCCCATAATACTAGAACCTGCAGTCATTCCCTGAAGCTAATCAGCTACTGACATGGTCCAGATAGCCCAGTTGGTAAAGAACAGAGCTGCAAGATTGCTTACTAGGACTGGTAGACGTGACCACATAATGCCAGTCCTATATTATCTTCACTGGTTACCAATTGAAGTCTGGGGCCGATTTAAGGTGTCAATGTTGACATATAACGCCCCAAACGGGTTAGGGCCTGGATATCTGAAGGAATGTCTCGTTCCATATACACCTGCCAAAACAGTAGACGAAGACCAGCCTAGCTTGTTTACAGTTTTGAAGGCCTGAACAAGCATGGAAAATTAATCCAGAAGGAAACTGGTAATGACAATGGCATAGGGTTAGAATGGAAGCTTCCTTTCCCCTCCTCCATCCCCCATATACCTGCCAGATGTGATCTGAAGGGTCCTCTAAAGCCCCAGTTTGAGCTGCAGGGGTGTGAAGGAGAAGGAGAATTCAACTTGCCAGCCGCATCCTTTCCGCTGGCAAAATGATACCATCAGCTGCAGCCATAATATCAGAGTAACATGATCCAACCAGCAAGCCCCAGTTAACATCCTGGTAGCTGCATTTTGAACCAAATGAAGCTTCCAAAGTATCTATAGATGCTGTTCTGTGCAGAGCCCAGTACAATACTCTAATCCAGATGTGATTGGAGTATACCTTGGGAAGGACTAACTTCCCTACCAAAGGATACACCTGGTGCTCCAGCAGAAACTGGCAAAATGAGAAGCAGCTAAGGACATCAAAATACTATTTAGCTATGTGCTATTTATCTTGCACAATCTAATCTGGAATGAAGGAATTTAGTTACTGGTTATTTATTTTAACCAACAAATTGCAGCTTGAATTGTGTAAGTTGCCTGTCTGTGGGTCTCTTGCAGCAGCAAGCTTTTACTTTAAAGAAGTCTACATTAGAACTATACTTTTATTTCTCTACAGTATGCAGACACATTCCAAAATGATACCTTGTTCTATATAAAGTTCCATTTTAATGAGGAAAATAAAATCTTTCATATTGGAGTTTTTATGCCTTTTAGTACTTTTATAGTCAATTACTGTTTCACTGGGATATGGCCTTTTGTAGCTCTTGTCATCTACCCTTTAATGACAATGATTTGGGGCCAGTAAAACCTTCAAAGCATATTCTGATTCTAAGAGACATTTAGAAAAAATCAGATGTTCACTCTGATGGTCTCTTAGGGTTTCTTTTGCGCACATTCACTCTCTTACCTATTGCAGGTAGCTGATTCAGTCTGCATTTGCTCCAGTGTTTTGTCATACCTTTTAGTCTACTCCAAGGTATTTTAAATGTGAAAAATGACAATTTACACAATTTATGTATTGGGGCAACTATGCTTAGTTAAATAATGGTGCAATTCTATGCATATTTAGACAGAAAAAAGGTCTATCTCTTCCACAGTGCTTGGGATTGTAGGCCTTTTTTGGTTAATATGCATAAGATCTCACCCTTACAAAATAAAAAAATGCTTTACTGGCTGGAGCAAGTTGGGAGTTGTAGGCCTTTTTTACTGTCCAAGCATGCATAGATCCTAAATTAAGCAAGTGAAAGCATTTACGTTCAACTCAAAATATGTCCTCTATTAATGAAGCAGCATTTTAAAAAGGAAATGTTTTTCTGTATGGCTCTTGATGTGTATACATGTATGTATCAATGCACATGTAGCATCAAGACACAAAGGAAGTGTGCTTTCTTCAGAATAATTACATGAAGTGAAAAATATTTGTGGAGTTTCAGTTGATTAATCTGATCAACTAAAATTCTTACCATTAAAAGGTTTCTTTAATTGGGCAAACCCCTAGGAAGCATAGATCTAATAGTGATGTCTCTTAACGCAGCCAAAGGTTGCTAGGGCAATTACTTGAGCTGTTTTCATTCCACTACTGAGGATACTCCTAAAACTCTGAAAATTATTCAACAACAGGTTTGGTAAGAATCCACCCAAGCATTGCTGAGAGAGTGTTTCACTCTCCTGAGAGAACTTCAAGGAGGCTTTGTGGTTCATCTACACATAGTTTCCAGTGTGGAGTTGTGCAGAAGTCATAAAGAAACAGAACTGCTCAGGCTTTTTTCCCTTTTCTCATTTCTTACCAGTCTGTTTTCAGTTTTCAGCCTTCGCTGGCTGGGTGCCTCTGGTTGTTTTGCACTGCAGCTTCCATCGTCCCAGACAGGATAGCCAGTGCTGCAAAACAAGGAACAACATGGATGGTTCACGAGGCACACAGAACCGGAACAAGAGACAATGCACTAAAATTAGATACATACAGGTCCCTTTTGACAGGACTGCTGTCAGTCCCTCCAACCCACTCCCCTCGGAACATCCAGCTGAAAGATTTGTGCCCTCTGCATAACCACATTGCAAGAGTACAAGAAGCACAATGATGCCATCATCAAGGTGTTGTTTATCATTACAAGAAATATTAAGTTTCCCCAGCATGGCATTGCACCTCCTTTAACAAAGTCCTTATACCAGTAACATTGATCCAGTTTTTTGAAAAAATAGGATGGACTTCTGCATTCGGACCATCTTTTTTTTTTGTATTTTTTATTTTCACTAGAAAGAGAGAGAGAGAGAATGCCGAGGGATCTTACAGAAATACAGTGTATAATTTCATCATCTAATCTTCAACATCTTGTTTTCATGAGCAAGCAAACATTTCTGTCTCCTCTAACCACAGTTAAATCAATCCTCAGTTAAGGTTTGACAACATATTGATCTAATTTATCAAAATAATTATAAATAATAGAATAACTTTAGTATGAAGTACAAGTCTCTAATAATATTGTTAACAAATTCTCTTTTCTTAAATATTAGTTAAATTGCTCATGACAAGCTTTCCATTAAATTTTTGTATTTGACCATCTTTGACTAACATGTGAACATCCATTTGGCTGATAAGAACCGGCATTTTGCATATT